AAATAATTTGATTATATATATAAAAAAATTTGAGTTTCCATTTGAAAAGTGAAAGTTGATACTGATTTAAAGCAGAAAGGATGCTCATCAAAATATAATTTTACTCACTGTGCAGACTAAAATATATACTTAATATTTCATAAAGAAACAAAAGATAACTCTTATATTTTCACAAATAATTTGTGAGGCATAGTTAATCAATCTCTCTGTACATGTGTATGTCAAAATAAAAAGCAATTAAATGTTATTTTACTAGACAAATTTAATAATTGTTGGCCAATAGTAAAAAATGTTTTGTTAAATTAATTGGCTTAAATAAAAAGTTAACAAAACTTTTTTTTGCTTAAATAGGAGAAATAATGTTTAAATTGACACCGTATGGTGACCTTATGCTAAAGTTTTTGGCCGTGATCATTTAGTACGTATATATATTTAAAATTCTATACATCTTACATTTTTTTCTTAGTATAACTCAAAAATTTCAAATTTTGAGTGCATATATTTATAAAAAAAAATGGATTCGAATTTGTTTTTCATGATAACGACATTGGTCATATATTTCATAATTCCGATTCAAGTAATCAGAGATGTTATGTTTATTGCACTGGCAATTGTGTCACTGCAGACTTTTTTGGAGATGATACTTTCTAAGAAAAAGACTTTAACTGAAAAAGTAGAAACTATTATGAATACTTGCCGGATTTCGACTAAACATAGTATTAATTTGGAGATACCTATTATTTGAAATAATTCAATTTTAAAAGAACCACTTAGAGAAGATAGATTTACAACAACTTCGATTATTGAAATTGAAAAAGAGCCCTCTAAAACTTCTATAGAGAAAATCACAATAATAGATAATTCATTGAACTGGGAAAATACATTGTTAAAAAATATTCTTTCGATTACACCATCAAAAATATTGCCAGAAAATAATATTACAACACCTTATACAAACATTTCAATACTGAATAATGAAATTGAATCTGTTAAAAAATTGAACTCTGAAAATATACAAATTGAAAAACAGCCCATCAACACATCTACAGACACTTCCATATTACCTAATAATTCTTTTAACACGAACACATCACATTCTACAAACAATCATTCAACTCAACTACAGTAGACGCCGCTTATAAGAATCACGGATATAAGGTTCAGTCGCTTATTAGACTCAAAATCGTCTGGAACGGTCCGGACGTATCCAAATACATTAAAAAAAAATCGGTTATAAGACTCAACACTTCGGTTATAAGACTCAAATTTCGTAAAATAAATAGTAGAAAAAAACTTTTTTGGTTATAATTTAGAAATAAATTGGTATTGAAAAATTAAATAATATTCGTGTTGATTATTTCTAGTTTCTATTGATACCTTATAACGCATAATAATTTTTATCGCAGATAAAAGTTCACATTTATCGCAACGATTATCGTTATTATAGTGCACTGATTATCTGGCGGTTGCACAGTTATCGGAATTACGGGTACATAAATACACATACGTACACGTGCACATGTATGTATGTTATCATTGTAGTCAATAGTATAATTGTTGTGCATTGAACGATCAGTCGGTATTCGAATTTCAACGTGTGCTTTTCTTGTTGTTAACATGAGTGCTAATACGCGACGTGCTCTTAGTTTGAATGACAGACAAGACATTTTAAAAAAATATGATCAACTTCCAAAGATGGGACAACGTGATGCAGCAGTTAGGCTGAACATTTCACAATCGGTATTGAGTAGAATATTGAAGGATAGGGAAGACATTGAGTGTGAAACATTACAAAATAAGTCGCCGGGTCGAAAAAGGAAAAGGTGTGGAAAGGATGATACTGTTGAACGTGCATTGAAAGAATGGTTCGTAAAAGTTAGAAATAAAGATGCTCGCGTGTCAGGTCCTTTGCTTCGCCAAAAAGCTGAAGAATTGGCAGAAAAAATGGGGAAGGTTGACTTCAAAGCGACAGAGGGGTGGTTCCATCGGTGGAAAAAAAGAGAAAACATTTGTTTCCAAAAAATGCACGGAGAACAAGGTGACGCAGATTTTACGGGTGCACATTTTTGGTTAGAAAATGAATGGCCTTCACTCATCTCCGAATTTTCACCCTCTGATGTGTTTAATGCTGATGAGACTGGCCTGTACTTTAGAGCACTACCTGAGCATACTTATGTTCTTCAAAATGGCAAAGCAAAAGGAACAAAATCTTGTAAAGAACGAATAACGATCTTGTGTTGTGCCAGTATGACGGGAGAAAAAAAGAAACTGCTTGTTGTCGGGAAGAGTAAGCAACCTCGTTGTTTCAAAGGAGTTAAAGCTTTACCTGTTGATTATACAGCGAATAAAAATGCATGGATGACTCAAGAAATCTTTAGTCAGTGGTTGATCAAATGGGATAATGAACTAGACAGAAAAATTGTACTCTTAATAGACAACTGCACAGCTCACAATGTAAGTTTAAACTTGAAAAATATAAAACTGGTTTTTTTACCGGCTAATACCACATCACTTATTCAGCCTTGTGATCAAGGAATTATTCGTACACTTAAAGCTTACTATAGATTAAAAATGAGAAAAAGGGTAATCACTCTCATTGATGAAATGTTTGAATGTAAGTCAACTTCGACTTTAAAGGCTAATGACCTTCCAAGAAAATTAACATTCTCGAGGCCTTACACTTTGTCAACGAAGCGTGGAATAATATTAGTGATGTGACTATTCGAAATTGTTTTCGTCACGGAGGCTTCGTCAAAATTGAGGAAGAGGAAGAAGAAGAAGATGACCATGGTAAAGACCTCGCTGACAAAACATATGAGGATTGGATGGATATAGATCGTGATCTCCAAACTTCTGAAGAGTATTCTGAGGACCAAATTTGTCAGTCTATTATAAATGAGAATGACGAAAGCGATGAAGAAGTCGACGTCGTAGTTAAACCACCATCAAATAAAGAGGTTCTGGAGGCTTTAGACGTGATAAGGAGAGCTGTCCATCACCGTGGTAATAATTTTAATATTCAATACGAATACGAAAAGTATATTTTAAAAATGCTAGAAGAAAATAAAAAACAAAGTAAAATGACAAATTTTTTTCAAAAATAATTTTTTAAGATAAATAATAAATGTAAAACAAATGTACCTTTTATAATTTTATAACTTTAGTTTTAATAAATTATGTAATACGTAATATATGTAGTAAAATAAAATTTATAAATACGTAATTAATTTTTTTTTCCACTTCGCTTATAAGATTCATTCGGTTATAAGACTCACTTTGTGCTGGTCCCAAAGTGATTCTTATAAGCGGCGTCTACTGTA